GAGTATAATGCATCTTACATTGGAAAGCACTTTATGTTTTGCAAGGACTCTTTCTAATAAGTCTGTGAGTTAGACAGAGTCGATATATTGCTTACATTGTTTTACAAATACAGGAAATGAGATTTGTTCATGTTTACTCAGAGACTAAGGCAAGAACCCAAACCCTGATCTTCCGACACTTAGGCCAAGGCACTTCCTACCCAACCCACTACCTACAGAGGCCACAAAGCCAAGTGGTAAAGAGTATGGTGTGTGGGTTCATACTAAAGTGAAAATCTTGGTCCTACCACTTACTGTGGTGAGCTTTTACATGTTTCTAAGCCTCTGTGCCCCAATTTCCTCAATAGGTACACCATGATTGCAATGAGGATTACCTGAATAAATGTATCTTAAAATATAAAACAATGTTTTTATAATAGAATATAAAAACATCTTAAGATATTAAGCCAGGTTAAACATTAAATCACTCCATAAATGTAACAGCATCATTACCATGTAGGGTGGTTATCTGTGAGCCTGTCTAATATTGGAACCACAAATCAACGAAGATCACTGTGATGCGGTAGGAAGTACTAGTCTCATATTCTGCTTTGTTATGTCATACTGAGAAGGATGTGTGTTTAAAAATGCAATATACAAATATTTTTTAAACATAATATGCCAGACTCTGTAACTGGAGAAATAACCTGCCATGTGGTGAACCGCTTATATAGGGGCCCACAGGGCAGAAAACTGTGGGCAGCCTCTAGGACCAAAGGGAGGCCCCCAGCTGACAGCCACCAAAACTCAGGGCCCTCAGTTGAATTCTGCCAACAACCTGAATGAGTCTGGAAGCAGATTCTTCCCGATCCAAACATCCAGGTGACAATGCAGCCCAGCCAACCCCTTAACTGCAGCCTTGTAATACCCTGGGGAGAGGGTCCTTGGATTCCCACTTACATATGAGACATGCCCAGACTCCTAACCCACAGAAACTGTGAGATACTGTGAGATATTTTATATATATATGTATGTGTGTGTGTGTGTGTGTATATATATATATATATATATATATATATATATATATAAATGTAACATACCAACCATAGAGAATATTTTATAAAGAAAGAAAGAAAAATAAAAAAATTTACCGGCCATCCTTCCATGCTAATCCAATTATATTTTTCTAGGCATTTCCTCCTACTCTTTCTTTATAAATGTGATCTACCATATTGTAAATCAGAGTACTTGTACAATTTTACAACCTGAATTTTTCACTTACATTATACACATTCTCTCATGTTACAATATAAACATATATTCTTCACACTTATTGTTTTTAATGGCTATAATATTTTTTATCAGGAGACAAAGCAAAATTATTTAATCAGTCTACTATTGTTGGACATTCCTGTGGCTTCTAAAATTCTAGTATTATAAATACAACACTACTGTAAAAATAGGCATGTAATATGTCTTTTTTAAAACCATATTTTGGATTAGTCCCTACAGGGAGGCAATATGTTATGTCTCTCTAAGCCAGTGGTTCTCAACCTGTGGGTCGCGACCCCTTTAGGGGTCAAATGACCCTTTCACAGGGGTTGCCGGGTATTCGTATGTGGGCGTATCTGCATGTGGGCCTGGAGACGGATAGAGGAGCGGTGTCTCGGTTCCTAAGACCATGGAAAATATGTGTTTTCCGATGGTCTTAGGCGACCCCTGTGAAAGGTTGAGAACCACTGCGCCAATTTAAATACTTAAAGCACCAGTTTTACCACATTCCTTTCAGTATTGAATATTTTACTTTTAAAAAACTAAGTGAGAAATGGTACCTTCGGGTTTTAATTTCCATTTCTTTAATCACCAGAGCAAGTTTAAATGTTTTTCTATAAGTGTATCTGTTTCAACTCCTTCCTCTTTTAAAAATTATCTTAAATTGAGTTGTCTAACCTTGCTGAGACTCAGTTTCTTCACGTGTAAAGAGCAGATAATACCACAGACTGCACACTGCTGCTGTGAAAATCAAATACAATCATTTAAGTGAAAATACTGAGGAAGGCTGGCACATCACAGTTGCTTAATTTTTAGTTAAATAAATAAATAAAAAAGTAAATGGTCAGTTACATAGAACTACACAATGGTCAACAATATTCATAATGTCATGTAGAATCCAGACACTAAATTGGTGGTGGGGAGAAAGTGCAATTTTCTAGGCAACATCCAAATGATGGGGCACATTGATTGAAAAAGAAGGAAGATGTCACTGCCATGACGCCTTTCCCATAAACACCTGCCTACCTTGAAAACAGATATTCACAAAGAGGCATTACAGGGTAGCACAGCCTCAATAAGCCTAGATGTGAAAGTAATTCTATGTACACCTCTCTACCTTCCCCTCATTGTTTTCCTCCCCAATACCAAGGGTGCCCTAGGAGACTTTTATCTCCACATCTGATGATGATAACTATTTCTTTGGCCTTGGAAAGAACCTATTTCAGGCTCGTCTATTGACTGTTTCCATATATATATATATATATA